TTCTCGACAACTACTTGACCAAATTTAATGAACTTTTTTTTGTTTTAATTTTACAAATATATGGAATCAAAATAAAAGGTTTTACCAAATTTGATTGTGTGGTTACTGAGAAATCGTTGCTAGAAGTTTAAAGAAATTGAATATTTTGGCTTCGGAATTAGATCGGAAAGGATCTACAGTGATCTTCAGCCCAGGATTTTCTTGACATAAGGAAACCCGTGTAATACTCATGATCAATAGTGTCATGCTATAAAATTTTCATTGTGCTCTATATTAGGCCATTTAAATTTAATAAATCGGGTTTCATGAATCAAAATTTACAAAATCTTAGAAAAAAATTTTAAGTATATTTACTATCCGGGTGAGTTTTTAAAAAAATTATATAAAAAATATTATATGTTTTTTATATATAAAATCTTTTGAAAATAAAATTAAAAGCCGGGTTGCTGGGTCACTTTTAAAAATTTTATATTATGAAAACTGATTTATCAAGTTTGTATAGCCTTATAAAGGATGCAATATACATCTTGTACTAATATAATTATTCACAAGGCTCACTGCATTGGCATAATGCATCATCTTGTTATATAGACAATAACAGATATTTTAAAAATCAATAATACATAAATAGAAATTAGATCTTAGAACTTATTTCATAAATCGAAAAGCATTGCACGCATGTGAATTTTTAATTGAATGCATCTGGCTATTAGCACCAGATATTAAACTTTATTGCATAATCTTTATTAAAATAAGTAGCATATATCAGTGCAATTGATGTGAGATGGGATATGCTCTCAGAAAATAGCATATTTGCAGCCAGGTGTTACCGTTATTGGTTAAATTTGCAATGCATAGCATCAGTCATTGGTTTTTCCACTTGCACACAGCAGGCCAACTTTGATAAAAAGTTTAAGCTACTACAAAATGAAAAGATTCTATGTAGTTCATGTAGATGGTAGGACTTGGGTGCGAATTTTGCTTCAGGCGGAAATGGCTGCTAATCCCTTATAGCAGCATCTTCTTATATCTACTTCTCATAGGCAGACATTCATATGATTGACTATTTAAACCAATTTAATTTTATATTATTTATACAGTTTAAAGTACTTTTTAAAAAAAAATAAAACTACAAAGAATAAACAAAAAAGAAGCATATAGAAAGTTTTATTAGCATTGTAGGACTATTAAAAATAATCAAAATTCTTTTTTTGTTTTAGAGAAGTTAGCATGGTGATAATCCAATTTTATAAAGTTACTATTACACTAACTTCTCTAAAACAAAAAAAAATTTTGATTATTTTTAATAGTTGAGTTCTACAACACTAATAAAACTTTCTATATACTTTTTTTTTGTTTATTCTTTGTAGTTTTCTTTTTTTTGAAAAGTACTTTAAACTGTATAAATAATATTGTTTTAAATAGCCAATCATACGAATGTCTGTCTATGATATCTACTTCTGACAATAAAATATTGTTAATAATATCATCATAGCTCTCAATTAGGCAGTTCATTAACTCCTTTACTTATCTGACTTTGTAATTTTTTTACACTACTTGATTGAATTCCCGATTAGGATTAACAGCAACATTTAGCTTGACCGGATTGCTTCCAGCATATCTCTGCTTAGCTATCTTTTCGATTTGTTGACTTACATCAACTTGAAAGAATGCAATCAAAGACAATATAATAATATTAATGATCACTGGGCATGTTTTAGGGCACTGATATTTATTACGTAATATCTATTTACTATAAGGGCTACCCCCTCCCCCCACGTAAAATCTATATTATTAGTCAATTTAGAAATCATATAATTTTTTTGCATAACATAAAATATTGATATAATACATGCTCAACCCCCACCTCCTAAAATATTATGTAATAAATGTCAGAGCCCTTATGATTAACTAATTAAATAATAAATAGAGCAGATTAAAATAAAATCAGATTAAAATAAAATGAGAAACCTCTCTTGCTTTTCTTTAAAGCTTATAAAACCTACTTATACTTTTTTATTAATAAACCTAACACTAAACTCTAACCCTAACCAACCCTAAAAAATGCTTCCCAAAATTTTTTAAACTGTCTCTAAAAAATATAAAAATTTTATTTTAATCTGATTTCATTTTAATCTGTTACAATAAATAACAAGTGCTACATAAAACAAATCATTAGTTTATAGATATAAAAACTTTTACTAAAACGCACCTATGGTGTTTTACACCTATGGTCCCGTTTCTCAAAAATGTACTAAGTAAACAGGATCAGATCCTCAAGTAAAAATGTTCAGAACCCCCAAAAACCTCATGAAAACTAAGATCGGGCCCTATCAGGCCCTTATAGTAGCTCTATATATATTATATAAAAAAAACAATAATTCTCTAATTTCTAACCCTAACTCTAAATTTTATTAAAAGAAATTATACATAGGTGTAAAACACCATAGGTGCGTTTTATAATAATTCGATATAAATATATGCATATTTTTAAATAAAATTCAATAAATTACATATAAACTTTAAATTAATATTTTAATGCAAATTTTAGTTGATATTTATTTACTTCATTAAAATAATATTTTCTTTATTACAAGGTATTATTTCCTAGTTATAAAACTGGAAAATATTACAAGATCTTTCAGTAAATCAAAAGTAGTATATATTTATTATTTTTAAATTATAGCAATTTAATTTTAAATCATAATGCAAATTGTTATCTGGATTAATACTTTATTTATTTTTTTTTGCAGACTTTCTTCTAAGCCAGATACTTTGACTCTTTTTTAAATCCCAATCTTCTGGCTTGGTATCTAATAAATTACATATTTCCACAAGTACTCTTGATGTTTGTTCTGCTAATAACTTATTATGTTCAATTAATTTGTTAAAAATTTCTTCTTCTGATTTTGTAAGATGTCTCTGTTTCCTTTTAATTGTAGTTTCTAATTCTTTATTAGTAACATTGCTTGATTGTTGTTCTCTAGTATTTAATATTAAAATTAAAAAAATAAATAAATAAGTAATTATTTAACTAGACTATTATACTTTTTTTGAAGTAATTGTGTCAGTTTCTCAATTTCTTTGCAATGCTTTTCTTTCTTAATTTGTTGATTGATCATATTAACTTGTATATTTTTTTGTCTTCACCTTTTAGTAGTATAAGGAATTTCTTTAATAATTTCTTATAAATGAATATTTTTAATCTTTCAATACCAATATTATAACAAGTAAATAGGTTTTTTTTTTTTTTTTTTTTTTTTTTTTTTTTTTTTTATTAATATAATATCATAGTAGAAACTTTATTACAGTTAGTCCGAAG